ATCCGCGGTGGCCGTGCCGTCCACGTAACCTCTGTTTCCGAAAACCAGATGCGCGTCGACTGCAGACACCACAAATGACGGTGGCCTTCCACAAAATGCAAATATGATTAGCCGGTTGTAGTTGTATTCTATCAGTTATCACTAATAGTAAATATTATTCACCAACTATCAGTTATTATTTACTCTGCAATTAACTGCCTCACTGAGTATTAGATTCAGGCATATAATGTAGCCTAACAGCAATATAAGGCATAATTTTTTGTACTAAACTTTCTATTCTAACACATTATCCTTCTACTTTTATAAGCATTATACACATATGTATATATTTCTCTCTACACCACCATGTTATACATCTCTTTTATTTCGTCAACCCTTACTCACTGATGAGCCTCTCGGGTTGACGAAATATAGTGGTTCGTCTGAGTTCAGAGGCGAAACGAACCACATCTAATTTGTTATTATAAATTCCTAATATACAGTAGTTTTTCTTTTTATTTACCACCACGAACCATTGGTAACCAGATTACTTGGAGACCGTCGTCACTTGTGTTCCATGGTTTGCATTCGACGCGCATCTGGTTTTCGGAAGCAGAGCATAGGTAGAAGTCAGCTTGTCTCCACGGCAGGTGGTGTAAATCGGCTTGTACCGAAATAGTGGGATCTAGTTGACCTCATTAAGGCTCGATGCAAAAGCGAGCCCTAGGCTGCGTGCGGCAGCGCGGACATTTGCCGCCTCCTTTCATCCCTTTGGCTAGCACTTCACTTTTTGTTACAGCCCCTTGGAATTATGCTGACCCTCCCAACTCTTTCTGAGGGACTGTGACATCCTACTATTCTCCCCAACAAAGCTACCTCTTGACGGAACTCACGAACTATGTATTTAAGGTACTTTGGAGTAAGCCTAATCTTTGAATGAATCAACCTATTTAGCTCTACATTCAAAGTATTAATTGGAGTGAGAGGGCAGAATAGAAACAAAGGGTGACTCACTTTTGTCACTTTTTCATTCTGATTGTTCTTTGCTGATAACCCACCTGCACTATTTGAACAGGCCCTTATCAAGAACAGTCATAGAACGGTTTCACTCGTTTTTGATTCCACTGTCATCGTGACATTTGTCCTTCTGCTGAGCTACTGCACGGATTTCCAGTTGTACCATAGCACATGGCAATTTAAGCCAGAAATTCGCTCTGAGGAGGATGCGGTGCCGGTGAGGTGTTTACATCATTTCGGTCTGCTCATCCTCCTTGATGGCGATCAGTTGATGAGGCCAGAGGCCGACCGCTGGGGCGAGACGACAGCTGTGTCGGTCACAGCACCGTTCGTTCGCCTTACCGACGTTAACCATTGATCGTTCGCCTCTCAACCTGGACCTCGCCGTAGAATCTGCGAGCAACGCATAGATTTCATTTTGCTAACTCAGACCTCCCCGACCCCTCCAATAAATCCCGCAATCAGGAACTCTTATGTATTATTATCTAATATTTTCCTTTCTTAAACCTGTGAACGAGTAGAACTTCTTCATACTACTTCATTCTGTTTAAAAGGAGAACTCCTATGAAGCGTCTGTTCCGGAGACCGTCAGTGACTAGCTGAGAGAAGCCTAGAAAACCTGTTTAAGGGCTCTCGAGTGCTGAAGGCCCTACCTGAAGCACATTTCATTCACCATCGTTCCTTGTATTGTAAAAAAAAGCATTTACACTTCGCCTCTCCTCTACCGTGAAAAGGGTGATATCCAATTTTTCTTGTCTTGGCGTTGGTATCGTTTTCAAAGGGTTCCAGGAATTGCTAAGATTCCGTCCCCGATCCCCTGATAAGGGTGCCCTGTTAACAAGCATTAACTAAGCTTTTGCGCTGTGAGTTTTAAAGTAAGTAATTTGGGCTACCACAGTCCAGACCGAAGCTATCACAGCGCTCTTCATTATTTCATAAACGAGCGCGCTATGCCAGTCAGCATCCTTCAACAACATTTCCCATTTTTCATACTTCTCTTTGGAAAGGAGCGTGCCGCACACGTCCAGTTCCCACTCTAAATCCGAGGCTCCATTGCCCCACTTTTCCAGGAAGTGCCTTCTCCTTCCTGAACTACACTTTTTTCCTAACATGTCATTGATTCATACCCTACAGGAAAACATAATTTTACGAAGTGACGAAAAAAGCTGAGTTGGGATGAAATGGTGCCCCGGTAGCGTAACTGTAGCGCACTTGCCCGGAAAGCGAGAGGTGCGGGTTCTAGTCCCGCCTGGAGGCGAAAGTTTTGTTCACAACCCAGCATTCTTGAAACATAATCTCAGAAAAATCCTTGGGATAAGGCGCGATTTTGGACCCCTCCACGGTTACCCTTCCTCGGGCCTTTCACTGAATTTGGCGTCGTGATAGTTGGGCAGGTTTGGGTTTCACTTTGATACTCACTTGAGAACTCATTCCCCATTTATCGGTCAGACCCTTATTCTCTAATACTAAATACTACGTACTCCGTGACTCGTAGCTTGTAGCTATGCGGTCATGGGGTACACGGCGCGAGGCCACAAGAGCAAGATTTCTCTAATTCTGAGACATCATGACTAACAGCAACGACACCGCCTACTGTATTGGGCCAATCACGAATTACTATTGTGAAGGATTGACTTAGGATTCAATTACTGCTCTCGCCACTTCATGATGTCACATAACCTCTCAGTCCCTAGTTTGATAACCTACTCCCACCCGTCGTGCGGTCAGCGCGCAGGGAGCTGAGCTCAGACTGAGCGCAGTTTGGGGGCATGCATGCATATTTCGGCTATCAAATGGTACAAGATCTGCTTCATATGATTTGTATTGAATCTTTTTACTCTGTTTTCTTCTATTCTATTTGTCAGCTTTCAAGCCTTCTCACTCATTCTATAAAAAGCTCAAACAGCTGACACATCGACATCAGTTAGCTCAACACCTCGAGAACTATTTGCGCATGTTCTTCGATTAAAAAGTGGGCATAATGTGTTAGAGATTGACATTAACGAATGGAGGACGTCAACAGTCACCTGATCACGCCCTTGGTTAGAAGTCCATAGTTGATCTTCCTTCTGTACAAAGCTTCGTCCACATCGGGCCTACTCAAATGCCTGCGGGTAGCCCTAGCTTATGCACACAGTGATTGCCTACCGAATGCTTTATTTATTGACGCAACTGTTTACTTCAGACAAATTTTCGAGTTATCCACGTTTACTCGTCATAATAAACAAATTTGGCTTCTGATCTTAAGGACTTTTATGCCGCATCCACTTCCACATTCCAGAACAACTCACACATCTTCGGTACTCTCAACTCAGTAGCGACATCGGTACTCTCTTTAGAAAAATCGCCTTAATCTCTCTCCAACTTTTCGTTTGAGGGTTTTCATATGTGGTGCTCTTCCCGTGATTGCGCACACCTTTGAAATAAATAAATAAACTTTGTTTCTTGATGATGGAAGTGGATAAAAATTTGTCCCCATATGTGGTTAGAAATTGTTCCTCAGACGTAATCTGACACGGAGAATACGCACTTGGGGCTACTGGTCTCTGTGCAAAAACACTTCAGCAAGCAAATTGCCAACTTGCTCTAGGGGGAATCTTTAAGCCAGATCTTGTTCGGAGATAAGCTGAAGAAACAGTTCTCGAAAAATGCGGCATCAAGGTCAATAGTGCACACATTCCAAGCGTCATGAGACGAGATCTCTGACGAGATGAACTCTTTAGAAATTCCTGAAATTCTTCTTCATAAATTTTGGCTTGGGGAATTTCCCGGCGATTTTAGGGGGGGGGAAGAGTTACAATTCCGTTAAGGGAATACTATAAGTTTCTCGAATTTGATCTGCAATTTCTCACATCACTAGGATTTCACCTGCTTAATTGATTGCCTCTCTATTTCAGGCTCTTTCGCTAAACATGCATATTCGTGTTAAGAAGTAATGCCATCTTCATCCTGACCTGTTGTAGGTATAAAATCAATGCGTTCTGCTACCAGCGGTTGTCGCCGCATGTTTCGCATTCGACAAAGAGTCGATGCTTAAGCACAACAAGATCAGCAAAGGAACCTGTCGGCAGCGTTCGCAGTGCCTTCCACATGTGATGAATGCCAATCGGTTCGTATTTGTACTTTCACGCATTTTTGTGACAAGAAATGGGTGCAATGAAAGATGGACGGGCATGCCTACTTTTTGAATACGGTAGGTACGAAATGTAGGCACGTAGGGACAAACCCACTGCCATGGTGTCACGAAAATGAGGGATTCGTGAGCCATGGAAAGTAGCCATGTCGCCCCCCCACGACCAAGGACAGTCACTTGACATGGTTGAAAAGCTGGAATGTGTAAGGTACTTTTATAGCGTCTCGTCACGTCATGCCAGTAGGTACCAGTTCGTATGCCCCATTTCGTGCCTACAGTATGCAAAAATCCACTAGCATTATGCAAAAAATGCTTCCCTGCGAAAACGGGCCGGAGCTTTACTGGGGGACAACCGGTAAACTATAGCGTCCATAAGAGTCCACAAGAGCTACAGTTGGGTTTCGGACCAAACGGAGTTGCAGATTGATGAAGAAACGATACTACATATCCCATTAACTATATCTACACAGCAGTTTTCTCTCAACTTAACTGTTTAACTAAAACCCTCTGGCCGCAAGAATTGGTTTTTCAAAGCTTGGTTAATGCGCTCTTGCCATCAGTGGAGGGTGTAGACTGAAGTATCCAGTATCATGAACAGCAAGGGATCGATCAAGAGGCGTTGTGGATAGGAGAACTTGCAAAGTTCAACGATGCTATTTCGAGGGTTTTGATACCTTCACCTATCCCAAACCGTTCTGTATGCAGGCACATAACTGGTTTTTGAATCGCGATTCACGGAGGAAAGGAGGCTGTAAAGCACACTCACTCATCCTACTTAATATCCTACTTATTGATTTAGTTGGTTTCAGGCCGAATTTCTCCGATGCGGGCTAAGGCACCGCAGAAGTCTGGCTGAATGACAGATGTGTGAATGTCGCTCTGCCACGAGACTTCTTATGTCGATGAGTGCCGTGTGTTCGTCTCTAAGCTTGACGTCATCGTCAAGAAGCTGGAGCCATATTTGGTTAGTTGATTCTATGATTTTTTTGATCATGGCACATAAGTGAACACTGCTGTAGGAAATGATTTTGCCCAGCAGTTGTTACCATTTTTTCAAAAGCCTACCCAGTGTTATCCGCACGTTGTTATTATTGAAATCGAGGGGTGTTGCCAACCTGAAAACGAGCACAGGCAGTGTAGTTAGTCAGGCTGTTATTTAAAGAGAAAAAAGGTATTGATATTTCGAAGTCATGCAGGCGTGTGTGATGGGGGCGGAATTGCGCCCTAACGCCTTTGATTGATGATTCTCATTGGTCAACTGTTCTGTAAAGTGATTCGAATACTGTAAAACGGCAAGTAGAATATGTTCATAATTGATAGGGCGCAAACTCCGCCCACATGATCATTGCGCTATGTGGTTCAAGGTGTTTAGACCCCTTATCTCGCTTCTTTCACTGGCCAATCTATTACCGTACTTTTTATTTTCGTACACAATTATCTTACCTAATCCGTCGCAGAATGTGTCTTGAAGAGAGAGATTATTGCCACATGCGATGTGGCCTATACAATGACTTGCGGGGGCCAGCCGATGTACAAGTCAGTGTTTTTATCCTCCCAGACAAGTCTGGTACCAATTAACCGACCCCGGAGGGATGGAAGGCTTGGTTGGCCCGGGCGACTCACGACCCAGGATTTGATCCCCGGACCGCTCGCGTGGTAAGCGCGCCACTTCGTATTTTCATATGGAGTAATAATCATCAGTAATTCAAAATATTCTCAGGGATAAAAGTTAGCATTAAACCTATTTACTTTTTTGAGATTGTAGTGATTTCAGCAAGATGCTCACCGTGTCTGCAATTCGTGTAGTGATTTCAGCAGGATGCTCACCGTGTCTGCAAGTCGTTCCACATGTGCTCAAACTCTCGCCTTGAGGCGTTCCACCGAATTGGACTACTGTACGCAAAGAGGACATTGAACAAAGTCGAAGGAATGGTGGGTGATAGATGATAATGTAATAGTTATCAGTAGTAATGTTTTCCCGATGGAAACTACCCTGGAGCCCAAAACAATAAGTGATCAACGTCATTCTGCGAGTCTGATTTGGCACAATTTGGGGCTCCATAAGCGGGACCTGATGTAATACACTTGAAGAGACTAACTTCAGCCTAAATAATGACTCTTTGCCCTTTTTGCTCTTAACTGTTGTTTTTGTGGTTCCTTGTCAATACAGTATGGCTCTATCTCAGAGTAGGGATAGCCACTAACCATAAGTGGAAAAAATGTAGGCCACCGATTTCGTTAACCTGACCAACCTACTGATGACCGCCCGTCTAATCGATTCCACCTTCAGAAGGATTTCGTCTGTGACGAATGCCAATTCGCCGCTCGTGAACTGAAGATTATTGTTGAGGATAAGGAGAAGCAGCAGGAAATCCGTGACTTCCTTTCAGAGAACATCTGCAAGCACATCCCGCGCTACCAGGGAATGGTTAGTCAAGCAATTACCGTATCCTCACATTAGCTGACTCTAATTTAGTGTTTTCAGTGTGATATGCTCGTCGAACAGTTCCTTCCTGAGATGTTCCAGGAGCTCGACACAATGTTGAAGGACCCCAAAATGGTAGGTATTGAAGACACCGATCCAAGGACTTTACGGTAATCCAAGTGTTTTAGGCCTGCGCTGATGTTGGTTTCTGCCCGCGTACCAGCCCACCACGCAAGCTGGTAGGATTCGTCGGTTTCCTGTCTCGTCTTTAAGCGTCCAATCCTCGTGTTCAATGTTATCCATTTGTTCATTTATCCCTATAAGGCGTAATATTCCTACATGGTGCAATTGTTATACTCTGCTTCTTAAGGGTTATTTAATAAAGTTACCTTGTCTATCGTTGCATTATCCACTTTATACCTTGTACCTACGTCCGTTGAAAGTCCAGGATTTGTGAAGTAATTGATGTCAGTCCTGAATAAACTCGAATAACTCCGAAATGGAAGCCAATTGGTATGGTAAAAAGAGCCGTGAGCTTCTTAGTGGGTTTCTATAATTCATATAATTCTATATTTCTATAATTCATTTTATTGCGTAGAAGTTCTGAATTGGCGTATTTGGCGTCAAATTTATGAAAAAGGCGAGATACCTCGTCAATTTACCACGAGGAATCGAACTAGGGACCCCCTTTTTTGGTATTCAGAGGGCCGTTCAGGAAAAACGGACCATGGTTCTGTGGTTCCCACATGTGCCCCAATATCATGCAAGAAACATCTTTGAAAAAGCTTGGCACACCCTGAACGACCTTCCCTTGTGAGGTGCCAAGCGCATTGTTGTGCAGTTGCATCGTTTGGAGACGCCCGCTCTCCCCCCTATCATGCGATACGCCTGATTGAAGAAATCTTACCGCGCAGCAGCCTTTAGCAATCTTGAGGCCGCACCCGGCTATGTTCACAGGAGGGCACCCGCAGGAGGCCGTCGCGCGGCAAGAAGGCAGGGTCGGCGAACGAGTTGCAGCGCGCGGATGTGCGATGTAGGACGCGCTAGTATGGACACATTCTATTTACCTTGACGCGAAATCCCTACAGTACGCGCGCTACTCGTCCGCTGACTCTTTGCATCTTGCCGCGCGACGGGCCTTCTGTCTGGTACCCTTCACAGGAAGTAGAAATGTCAGATAGGGGCTGGAAGGAACCATAGGGTAAGACCTTACCCAGCTCTGCACAAGAGATGCTTTGGGTAGAAGAAGCAGTTTGGCGCGCCGGCAGAAAACCCCACTGGTCGACCCCGCGGCGCGGATTCAGGAAGAAGAGGTCGCGGCTTCATTCATAGAATAACCATCCCGTTGTCAAAACCACGGGCTGGAGGGTCCGATAATGAAACTCCTTACCTTGGAGTCTAAATCATTTGGCTTCGCAAACGTAGGCACACGTTCTTGCTTTCCCCTAACCTAGAACACGAGATTGGCTGCATGACCAGACCTTAGTCTATCAATGAAGTGATGTTTTCCGAATGATGGCGATGTGTGCAACCCCATCGAGGTCTGTTTCGTGGGACACCCTCCCTCATACTTTGAGTATGCTGAAAACATAAGATTAAATGATTGTGCAAGGTTTTGGTGGAACTGAAAAATTACGGTAAGACTTTACAAGTAAGCTGAGCACCCTCAAATTCGAGTTTTCGGCTTTATTTCCACAATGAATTCTGAATAAGTTTCTGGGAATCCATACAGGTGGGTCTTGTTGGTTTTGGCTGCTCACGAATGAGAAGTGCGTCCGCTTCAACAAATAACGCCGCGAGCCCGGAGTATCCTCACAAGCTACTTCTAGTTTGCGCTACAAACTGTGCGACAGTATCCATAACAATGCTGACCAAAAACTTGTAATTATACTGCTTATCTCAGAAGATTGCCACGAGTATTCCTCTGTGCTTTTACCTGCTCGTTTCAAACCTATAAAGTGAATCTACTTGCAAATTCAGACTGCTGCTTACGAGGAAACTCCAATTCATCCGATGTACGCCTTCTTCCGGGCTGCGAAAACAATCAAGACACCGACTGGTAGCGTTCTGATGAGTTGTCTGGAATGCAAGATTGCCGTCGAGGAAGCAATTAACAGCCTTATCGCCGACAGGGTCAGTAAGTTCTACATGGCGCGCCATAAGTATGTCATCAAACTATGGTCCATGAATTCCATTTTGAAATGAAATGCGATATGACTCTGCAGATATTTTAGAAACACCTCGCAGCAAGCAAAAAATACTCGCAGTAATGTTGCCTCGCCGCGACCACAAAGTTGCAGCTCAATGAACGATTGGGATTATGCTTCGATGTCAGCGTTGTGTCACTGTTTACTCGTTACAGGCGAATTATTGCCAAGTTAGAAAGCGCAAGGTAACGAACCGAGTATTAAGGCGAAGGTCAGAACCGCCGTAAGCAAACGCAGCCCCGTTCGGCGTATCTGCTGGTGCGGCTGAATGTTGGGGAGGGGATGGGGTTCCCGAGCTCGACAGAACTACTTCAACTCGGTCCTCAAAACCGCCTCAATTTGATGCTTACCTCAGGACTAAGCCTTAAAGAGAGGACGGACCTGCGAGAGAGCGCAGGTCCGTCCTCTCTCCAAGGCTTCAGTCCTGGGGTAAGCAAACCAGCCCTTTGGCGGAGCTGCTGGACCTAGCTGCACCATACTTTCGTCATCACTCTCCTACCGCACCGACCGAGTTCAAGTAGTCCGTCGAGCCAGGGGACCCCCTCGTCCTCCACAACATGTCGCATACAGCCCCAGCAGACAGCCAACAGCTGGTTACCTTGTTTCGCTGCTAACCGGTCTAATGAAAACTGATGAGTAGGCTGGGATCGTTTTTAAAACCCCTTGATCCTTCAAGGATGGTTTGCGCTGCAAGCTGCATCGCCTGAAGAAGTGGTCTTCTTTATCAGAAAGTGAATGGCACCATGGGTCCTTCCGTCCCCGAAAATTCTTCTTTTGAAGAAAAAGGTCATCTTGAGACAATGCTTTTCGACCTTTCTGAGAACGCCTAGTACGGCTCCCAAGTGCAGAAGCAATGTCACCAACTGAAGCGTGCAGCGGCCCAATTTCCCTAATTTTTTCCCCGTATTCATTGCAAGAGAGTTTTGTCGTACTTCAACTCCTCTTCCTTATTCTTACTTCTCGACCGCTGCTCATCCTGGGCACGCCAGGCGCAGGTCGCAGGTCTTCCAAGTCGTTCCGCTTCGCTCTCTGGGTCGCCACGCAGTTGGCCGTCAATAGGAAGTTTACGAAGAGGGTCAGCTGCATGGGTGGGGGTTTGGCCTCCTGGCCTTGTTGTACCCGTTCTGGCAAATAGAAACACGAACATCAGACGAGCGGGTCACCAAAAATCGCTCGAAGAAAGGCTGAGCCAAGGTTCCTCAACTGAAGGCCCGTATTCCGCCGCCGCAGCGACCTGAACTCTCTCATGAACTTGGAAGGAAAGCAGAAACACTCGTTCAGTCGTTTTTTTCAGAACAACCAGGCCGCCGCCGTCCAGCAATTTGCTTGCCACAAGCTCTTACCGTCGAACTTCTCTGCCAGCTGTGACGATTTCCTCAGTCTCTATCTGCCTACCGTACTCTACATGACTTGGGAACAGTTCACACCAGAAGGCTTCTGCTCTAACAAAATAAAGTCATGTGACTCCGTTTCAAGTGAGTGTCAAACACATTGAGAGTTGAATTTATTCCTGGAGCTAAGCACCGTCGTGCTCCTGTCACACTACTGTGACGCAGTTTCTGGCATACAATCGGGAAAGAGAACTTTTTGACTGAGCCTTTACTGGAATGTTTCAGTGTCCCGAATCGCTTTGCTGTCGAAATCGGACGTCAAGGGTTTGAGCTGTCAGTCATGCAGTGGTATGCAGAGCTATTTCCAGGTTTGTTCCCGCAATTAATATTTACCTCTGTGATGGTTTTCAATGGCTGCATCTTTATTATAAGCCGCAAAAATTCGAGAATTCACTCAAAGGTGCATTCCTCGCTAAACGAGTGGGTGGAGCCACTTGCACCGCTGCATGCTTCTCATTTATGGGCAACCATTTTCATGCTTGGCGCAGCAGTGAGAGAGGAGGGGCATACCAGTGGGGACGTACGTGATTTAAGACTCCGAAGACTCGTTTAGCGTCAACGTGTCTTTGAATGTAGGGTACAGAAGAAGGAAAGTGAAGATCAATTGCAGCTCCACCACACTAAAGGCTACCTTGCACGCTGCCAAATTTTTGGACGATGGCAAAGGGGTGTCCCCCAAGAGGCCCACCGCGCGGCGAAGGAAGAGACGCAGATGCGGCAAAGGACGAGTCGCAGCGCGTGCTGTGCGATATGAGACGTAGTATGGTACACTCTATTTAACCTGACGCCTAACCGCTACAGTATGCGCTGCGACTCGTCCTTTGCCGCGTCTGCGTCTCTTGCTTCGCGGTGGGCCTGTTGGGGGACACCCGTGGCAAAGTACTTCTCAATTTACGGCTAAGGGATTCTTGAGCACCAGTCTTGTAGTGTAATTAAAGGCGAATCTCACGACCAAAGGAAGCTCATTGAAAATTAAGTTAGGGATGGTCAGTGATGCACGAAAGAAGAAAAAACCATGAGAAACGGCCTAGAACCCGAGAAATGGGACCCCTTCCTTGCCCGTTGATTTGCGCATTGATGCGACTCTCATCGGTGCTGCCCTCTTCAACGCTAACGCTCTCTATTTCTCTGCTGAACGGGGAGGCTCCGACACGAAACTACGCGAGAAGGGGGTAGCGAGCCATTATAGAGCCAATAGGCCTGCGGAGAAGGTCATGCTAGATCGCCGCTTAGCTCTAAGCCTCAAATTAACAATTGCGTTTTGCTTTATAATCTGATCTGATTGCAACTGTAATTTGGTAAACGGGAAGTTCAATTGATGAACCTGAATGGGTGGTTGAAACACCCAGTAGATGACTGCTGCGCAGGGTCAACCGTTCACGTTGGACCGACATTGGACCGACGTTGGACCGACGTTGACCGCTCTCCGCGCCGGCATTCGCACTCGCCTTGCGCGAGCCGTCTGTGTCTCCGTGCGTACGTTCACTCTCGGCATTACTCTCACACGCTAGAGAGCCATGCGTTGGACTTTCGCGCGATTGCATTATGAAAAGTCTCCTCAGTTCTACTTGGTGTCTTTTTAGATCAAGAGGTGTTTAGTAATGTAGCAGCGACGAGTTCCCTAAAATAGTCGCTCCGTAGCCGCTCGTGTTGGAGATCAGTGAGTCGCACCTGCGCAGGGGTTCGTGATAACAAAACTGCTCAGTTTTCGATTTCCACTGGTTTGCTATGATGAAAGTCATAACTAATTGGAATTGAGGAATTTTTACAATACTAACAAGCGAATGTTAGAGAAAGCTATGTCATATGTTTAGAAACAAGGAGGATCGCTCAGAAACGGCAGGATTCCAACAGTTCGCTATTGATGAATTGAAACGATCCGTTTGCGACCACACATCAGTCCTTGCAACAACGGTTTGTCACTTTAAGAAGATTTCATTTTTTATTCAATTTGTCTTCCTACATTTAACCTCTTTTGATGCCATTATTCTGCCATGAGCAATCCTTCCGCATTGCATCAAGTTTCAAAAGATTCAGTACTCTAGAACTTAAAGGCGGTAAGAGCGATAATTTAGCTAAGGGTCACTGGCGCATCCGCGTTAGTGGAAATGAAGGCTAAGCGGCAAAGGGAACTTGTTGTTTTTCGTGGCAAAAAACGCAGTAGTAGCAACTATTACATACAGTAGCGGTCAAAAGTGTTCGCCGAAACGGTTTTCCGTGCTTCTCTTTTTTTGCCAAAAAAATCAATGGTGACCTCGAAAATTTTTCTTTTGAATATCCTGATTCTTTAAGACTTGAGGATATAAAAACACTAGAAAACATAGTATATCAATCTTTGGAGGGCGTTGCTCAAGCGAAAAAATAATGCACTAAAAATCGTTTCGGCGAACACTTTTGACCGCTACTGTAGTATGTAGATGACCTTCAAGCTCAATTTGATCTCCCTCGAAGAAACCCTGCTAGCAAGGACGGTTGCCGACGTTTGCAATTCCTGATCACTATCCTTCAATTTTCTCTTGCATTTATTCCAGACAGCCGCTTTTTTATTTTGCCGTGTTTTGCTTTCGTTGGGATACCCGGGTTAAGCCGTTTGGACACAGTACCCGAAATGAGCGTAAATTACGACGTTCCTGCCGCAGTCACGTACAATGCGCGACGCATTGACGCGCTTTTCGGGTACCAGTCGCATGTTTATGCCTACGCGAGGCCAACTCGATGTGCGTGCCATACTTCACCTCCTATAGTTGGCGAGTTTGCTCGACGCATTCTCTTTTCGTTGAGAGGGCGCAGAGAAAACGAGAAGAGAGAGGCGAGCACACACTCTTATTCAGTTTCTTCTTAACAACTACCTCTTTGGTGACCTTTGCTTTCATACTTGAACAACACCAATTTACCGTGTACTGCCTTGGAGAACGTTTTTTTTTTGGAAAATCAGGTGAAATGCCCTTATCTACTTAATTAGTTGGATTTCAAAGTCCGGTGAGTGACCGCAACCGTAACACGTGACTGGTTGGCGCGCAAC